ATACAACTTTAAAGAGAAACTTTCTCCTTTATAATTTGCACCAGCATCCTGATAACTACAAAAAGTTGGGAACGTAATTGGTAAAGAACACTTTAACGTGGTTTTGAGGGATTATTGTGCAATACAAAGGCAGTCGTTTGAAGTCGGTGTCCTTGTGTCGCGTGCTATTGCGAAGATTCAGGGTTCCAGGCAGGCGCACTTGTGGTGAATTAATGTGTACGTGCTATTAAATTGCAAACCGTTATGTGGCATTATTTATTATGCTAAAGCTGCACGTATAAAATCATGTGTTAGAAGAAAAATCAAGAAAGAAAATGACATTTTTCCAAAAGAAAAGCTGATATTTATATCAGCAAATATGCAAAGAACATTCCACTGTTTTGTATTCACATTGTAAGTATTCGTGTTCCAGGGTATGTTCCTTTTTTAGGCCATGTTCATAGTGGGATTAATTGGCAATCATAATTTACCCTCATTAAAAGCCTTTTTATGTTGCATATTATCTGATCAAAGTCTTTTTACTTTCACTCAAATGATCCCACAGCATTAAATTCGCCTCTTCACAGTGTTCTTCATGACATGTCTAATGTTTGGTTCCTAAAATATTCCTGCATTTAAAGTGTTGAGCTTCCTGTATAATCAGGGGATTTGGGGGAGATGTGGGGAGGGTTTCCCCACTAACTTAAATAATTGACATACGTTAAAATGATAGCGCTGTATTGTCATGGCTATTCTTCCTTCTAAAGGAAAAAAAAAAATTGTTGCTTTGCATGTTTTGGATTCTTTTTTCCTAGCTATCTTATCCTGGATTTGTAGGGTTTGAAGAAACGTATCTTCTCATTTCTATTCTTAAAATTTCTCTATTTTTCTCTGGAAAAAAGAAGTAATATACTTACTACATTCTGACTTAAAACTAGGTAGTTCTTTGTATTTTTCTCGTCAGTCTTGTCCAAACTCTGCCTGTGGAACAGAACTCTGCAGTGAGGCTTCACCTGTCAATAGCGACCGAGAAATTCTAACCTCTTTGCTTGCAATGATTTAGATTAATGGCATAAAGGGGTCACAGGATTTATTACTTTTTTTTTTTCCTCTTCTTTTTTTTTTTTTTTTAACTCTTTAACATGTTTTGGCACCATGGTTTTTTAGCTTGTCTGGCTGTGAGATGTTTATACTGGGCGAGCTGAATCCTTGGTCCTCTGGAATGTTCTTTCTAAACTGTAAATATTTTTTTCCAAGTTCAAAGACTGGTTATTCATATTATCTGGAAGGTAAACCAGAAATGGACATTAAAATTAAATTAGTTTACTTTCTGATAATCTGTTTGGTAATGTGTTCATTGCATAAGATTTGATAAAGTCTGAGTAAAAACATTGACATTTTAAGGGTAAAGCTCAGCCACAGGTGGAGAAGTTCTTTACTAAATACTGATTAGGTTTGTTTTCAAGGAATATTTGATTTTCCTGACCTTTTATGTCATTCTAATTTCATGTTATTTGAATTAAAATGTCATCTTTTTTTATAGTACCTAAAATAGACTTTATTAGTTTTCCCGAAAGCTATGTGCAGCTTTGCTTTGGCCCATTTAAATATTGAAAACAGCAGGATTTGAGATTTTTCTTATAATCCTCAACTAATAGAGTTTAATGCTTTGTTTGGCCTACCCTACACAGCCTAAGCAAAAGTTTTAAACAAGATTAAAAATATGACCTCATTAACCCATGGCATGTAAAGATAGGGGCAGGCGGAGCGGCGGGCCGCGGTGGGCCGGGGGAGCGTGGCGCCCTTCCCGGCTGCTGGGAGCCGGGCCCCGCTCGGCTGGCGTTTGGTGCCCGGGAGCGAGGAGGAAAAGAGCAAGAATCTGTTTCGAAGATGGGTATTCGGCCTTCGTGGCTGGGGAGAATAAAGTTCAATTACTTTCGGAAATTCGTGGTGCGACCTGGCGGGAATTTCTCCAGAGCGGTTCTGGCAGAGCGCAGAGACGGCGGTGGTGGAGCTTCGCTTCTGTCTACTGCGCTTCGTTAGCCCTCGAGTAAAATGAGTTTCCCCTCTCCTTTGCTGAAGAGAAGTTGGAGTTGTATGTAAGTTGTTGGGTGAGCGATTGATGAACAGGTTGAGTTCCAGAAGAATGAAGTATCTCATTGTCATGGGAAATTTATGCTTAGCAAACATTACAGAACATGAAATGAGCCGATACGTTCATTGCTGTGTGACAAGATTCCTTGTTTACCGGACGTGCTATAGGGCCAAGGCAACAAAACCAGAAATAGGAACTATGAGTATTCTTGTTGTAAAGATGATGATGGTTATCAAGCAGTTTGTTAATTGCTGGAGTTTTACATCGCTCCATATTCTTTGTCACTTTGCAGTGCTGATAGTGGCGTGAGGACTGGTGAAGAGAGGTAGATGTGGAAGTTGGACCGACACCTATAATAGAAATACTATGTTCTATTGTCCAGTATGGAAGAGTCGGGTAAATGTGCACTTAGCTAATGCTTTGAGACAGTTGTCCGCAGGTGTTCTCAGGGAGAGAATATAACTACAGTTCGCTTAACAACAACAAAAAATCTAAAAAAAAAAAAAAAACAGAAGACTTTAAATTTCTGTCTTTCCTAATGGTGTTCCAAACAAAGTGAAATGACCGAATATTATTTCTTTACGTAGCCCTTTACAAATACAGACATCTTGATTAACTTTTAAGTTTATCAGTTGCCCTTTTGATCTTTAGAGGGTAGAATCTGGATACGTGTTCATTAAGTTCGTGACCCAGCTGAAAATTGGAGGCAAAATCAAGCCGGACAAATTGCTTGCGCTGTCAGTGATAAATGTTTCCTGCCTTCATACCATTATTTACATGTTTTAATAAGGAACATAATTTCTAAAAAACAGAAAGTGGCTGATGTTTTTGCAGCCATATGGGCACTAACTGAAAAATACAGTATTTGTACACCTACTGTAAGTTTTGGCTTGTGGAGTGGAGGTTTCCTTCAGACCCGGGGCAATAGAAAGCGTGGAAGATGGGAAGGAAGAGGGTGAAAAGGCCTCAGTTTTTCCTCTCTTTTCCTGTCTTCTTTATTTTCCTTAGTTCAGTGCTTTTGGCCTTTCTTGGCTTGCTGCCTTGTTCCCATCACCTGTGCCAAATCCCTAAAGCAAAGATCTGGTAGTCTTCAGGAATAAGGTGGTCTGTAGATAGATCAAGAAGTGGAGGGAAACCAGGAATTTACATCTGATTACTGGTCGTCTGTCTTTCTGCATCAGGCGTCACTGGCCTTCCTCGCCCTGCCCCGCGGCGCTGAGAGCGTGTCGGTGGTCAGTGCGGGGCTGGTGGCGGGGGACAGCCCTGCTTCTGCTTGGTTGAGTTCCGCTGGTGCCAGATGTGTTCTCAGCGCAGAGAAGTTGTCCCCAACGAGGTGTCCCGACACTGCTGCTGGCTTCCCCTCTGCAAGAGCAGTGCTGGCACTGCCATCCACTGTCACAGCTCTGGGATGTATGGCAAGATCCCGTCTGTGTGTAAAAGGCGGCGTGACAGGCGGCAGGCTCGGCGGGGCGTTCCCTGACCCCGGCTTTTAAAAAAGTTGCATTAATCTTTCATTGATGACCTGAATCCCACCACTCTTGGACATCGGCGTCTGCCTTGTTAACCAAGGAGTACTTTTTTTTTTTTTTTTTTTAGCCTGCTGTTCTTCTACATTCTTGATCGGTGAATATGCTTTCAGTTTCGTTTTGGTTGTTGGTTGTGAATAATTATAGAAAGGAAAAAGTGATAAAAAGCATTTGCAATATGAGTACTTAATAAAATGAGGTTTTCTAGCTGTGGTCTGTAAACTGAAAGTGTGAGCGCTACCTTTTAAAGGGTAAAAAAAGAAAACATACTGTTGGTATTTTCAAGTCTCTGGGATACTGTACTGGAAAATGTTAGTTTTCAAAATTAAAAAATTAAAAATAGTTGGTATAAATATTCAGATAATGAAAGTGTTCTGTAAAAACAGTTTAATGAAGATTAAAAGGTCACTTGGACAATTTAGGTGGATTTTTTTAGTAATTACCTGGCTAACTTGGTTTACGTTGAAATAGTAATTTTATGCTGTATATAGCAAGAAATTAATAATGTAAAAACTTTGTCATAGTGCATTACAATTGAGTTACATTTTACAGACTCAATACTAGTAATACCGTTAGGATGCTAATTCCTGGTTGTACCAAATGTTTGATCACGCATTTCACTTGATTGTGCTGTTTGGCACTGAAAATAACGACGGTCAGATTTACCATCAAATGCAATACAAATACTGCGGAGGCAATGGGATACACTCCAGCTGCATTGAGCCTGCTGCGCTTGGCAGTTTGGCTGCCGTTAACCCCAAATGGTAGTGCTCAGATAGAGCCTTCCAGGTGGTTTTCCAGCCTGCTCTTCTGCTTGTAGTTAAAGGGTAATTTTACATGTACGGGTTAGGCTTTTATTATTTATTTTAGGTTTTATGTCCAAACTGTTAGTTTGGATGGCTCTGTCGCGTTGTGTTCTCTGCTTTTTCTGCTATGACATCGTTTCATGCTTTGGGTTTTTTGTACTTTGAGGTTCTTTGGTCTCCTTTCATTTGTTTCTGCTTTTAGTATCTTACCCTTTTTTTTCCTCTACTTGTTTCCAGTTTATGCTTTTCTAAATAACTTCCTCCTATGTGTAGTATTTTGCATTCAAATGAATCAAAATCTGTTTGATTTTACAGAATGTCTTAGTCCTGGTCTAAGACTGCAGTAAGTTTTTATTTAAGCACTGTTAGATAACTGAATTTTGGATACAAATAGATGTTTACTGTTTAAGTAGAAATGTTGTTAACATACTTAATCAAGTCTATCTACAAAAGTATTCAGTCACTGAGAGCACTTTGGTCAATAGTGACAATACAGTTTTGATAGAATACTTTTGAAGTTCACGTTCTGTTTCAAAAAGATATTCTGCTTTTATGGCGTGTAAACTTAATAATATATTTTTTTATTACAGGGAGAAGAAAATGAAAATTCAGGATATTAAAAACAATATTAAAGAAGCTATAGAGGTAAACTTACAAGCTATTGTTTTTAACTATTCAAAGCTAGCTATTTACACACTCTGCAATTTTATTTTTATTTTTTTCTTTACAGACAATAGTGACAGCAATGGGCAATTTGGCACCTCCAGTTGAACTAGCCAATCCAGACAACCAGTTTCGAATCGACTACATCTTAAATTTAGCTAACCAGATAGACTTTGATTTCCCACCGGTAAGTAAATAATTCAAATTGGCTGCAGTCATGCTTTTTTTGCAGATGATTATACTTCACTGCACTGTAGTAAATATTTACAAAAAATGGTGAGCTGCTCTTTGGGAATTACTACAGTAGGTGTCTTTGCTCAGTGCTAATCAAATAAAGCGTATAGCAACACAGCTGGAATATTCAAGCGGATGCTTTATGAACACGGAGACCCTCGTCTGCTTTCTTGTGCCCTGCTGAAATAATCAGCTCGAGTTCAGATGGACCATGCTGGCAGTAAAGTTTGGATGTTGTTGGGAATTGCCCTGCCCAAGAGGAGTGAAGATAGGCACAGCAGTCTGTTGATGATTAGCTGGCATTTGGCGATGCTGTATTTCTCTCTTTTGGAAGAATAGTGGAGTTTTCTTGCTGATTCAGGCATGTTCTCTGAGAGCTGTGTCAGCCAGACTTTATGCAGCGGCTGCTCACGCTCTGTCCTTGCCCCAGCCCTCCCGGTCCTGGTTAATCATTCAAAGTGCCGGCAGCCCCAGCGTAAATGCAGAAAGTACAATTGTTTGTTTGATGGTGTAACTTGGTGCCCACTCACTGTCATTAATTTCTACTGTATCTCAATCACGCTAGTAGCAGAAGCCCGTGAAAATACAGTTTGCAAACACTGAACTCTTAAACACTGGGAAGGTATTTTTCTTAATTACCGTGAAGTACCTTATACTTGCGGTAACACAGGAGCGTTTCAAAGGCCGTATTCTCTCTGTGCGCTGTGCCAGAGGGTGTGTCAAAAATCATGTTCCATTTACACCAGAATTCGGTTTCCAGCAGTAGCTGGTCCCAGGTGCTGGAAAGGAAAGTGCAAGTGCAAATAGTAGTAAGATGTGGGATGGTTTGCACCACAGCAAGGTTTTTGTAACTCTCGTTTATAAACAGTACTGAACAGGCCGGTCTGTGAGACCAGTGACAGTTACCTTGTGCAACTGCTGCCACTTCTGGGAATTTCTCTGCTTTGGTCAGCCTTTATTGAAAGTGAAAACCAAACAACCCGAACCACATATTTTGTGTATGAGGCAGAAGCCGTGTGCTATTAGCAATTAATTGGAAATACTGGCATTGTAATCTTCAAATCCAGTAATTTTCAAAGTCCAGCAGACACAGGCAGGTTGATGGAGGAGGGGATGTATGATTTTTCTATAGCACATAAAATGTAATATTAGTCATTTTACCTTAAAGATTCTTTAGAGATTTTGAGATTTTTAACTTGACACCTCTTTTATTTTGGCACTTGTCAGTGTTATCCATAGGAATATTTGGTCCCTTCATGGGTGATCTGTCCTGCTAGTGGGACAAAAAAAATCATGCTTTGAGGCCAGTTTTAGGAGAATATTCGAGAGTAAAGACAGCAGCTCCTTACTGCGCCCTGTGTGCTGTTGAGCTGGCTGGGTGCCCACAGCTAGCTCCCCGCCTGCCCATTGTTCCGTGATGGTTCGGGTTGTGACCTGTAACAGTGCTGTAACACGTTCCTGTGCCCTACCTGGGATAGAAATACTTGATTTTCCTTCTCGCTTCTGTCTCAGAGGGTTGGAGTTTTTTCTTCCATTCAGTTGGAATGAAGTTTTGTTGTTGTTGCTGTTGTTGTTCCCCCCCGCCAAAAGCAAGGGGTAATTATGTAGTGGTAAGTGTATGTGTTACATTTACTGTTTTTTGTACAAAAATTGATATTCAGGTTGTATTATCTCTGTTAGGATACATGGTAGCAAGGCCTTGATGTCTAAAGCAATGGAAATTTACTTACCAGGTCCATAAATAGTTTCAAGTTCATTGAAGAGTCTTTGATGTGTTGAATGACACACAACTTCAGGAATAACAGTGCTCCAAAAAAACTAGTTTTTCTTCTCTGAGCGAAGGTATTGTGTTAAATTTTTAAGCCCTGAGTCTACAGAGGTTTAGGCGTGTGCATAACTTCGACTAGTGGCTAGCTTCGTTGCCATGATTAACTATTTCATATGTAAATGTAGGGTTGAGGTTTTAAACTGGATATACGTTAGCCACTAATTTGCAGGAGCATTGTTGGCTCCCTCTGCCCTCGGTGATTATATAGGCTAATACATATCTGATTTCTGAGTTTGTCTGGATGTAGGTTATAGTCCTCTGGTACCTGAAAAATAGAACCTGGATTTTAATTACATATTTTAAATCAAGTTGAGATCTAGAACGTCCCTAGATGCCAACTCTCAGTGCATAGTATCAAAAATCCATGATCGTTGGGTACCTCTGTAAAAATAATTTTGAGTTTGTTATAGTTTAATTAAAAGTACTTTGAAGAAAAAATAATTTTGTGTAAGTGGAAAGGATAGCCTTATGCTAGTTATGCTTCATATCTAAGGAAATCTTGATTATCTGCTTTCTCCTCCGGTACTCTGGTGGGAGAATTTCATAAACTGGCAGCTAAACCTTTTCCTATATAGCCTATTAATGCAGAAGAAGGGAGGGGAATTGTTAGCAATGTTAGCAGCATGTCACACTGCCTATTTTGAATTGTAGAACTGGCTTTCTGTCTCTTCCGTTTTCTCCATGGGGAATCTTATTTCAGCTGTTACGGATACGTACTTTCCTCAGTATAGTGTTTGATGCTGCTCTTCTCTGCTGTAGGAAGAACATAAAGGTAGGGAGGAAGAACACTCGTGTACCAAGGAGATGTTCTTTGAGGGCTGTGAGTACTTAGTGCCATATTCTAAATTACAAGGGTGTTTTGCCTCCCGTGAAATGCCCGTTCATCTTTTCCTAAGCATTAATTTAGCAAGGTCTCCAGAAGGCAGTGTGCAGACATTAGCACTAGGATTGTCTCATCTCTTCTCCGGTTGCGGGAGTTCCTCTTTAGAACATGAGGCCTCATCCTTCTGTACACGAAGGAGTAGTTTAAAGTACACAGCAAAATCTGTGCTTATTATTACCTGTTGTGCAGATGGAGCTAGAGTTCAAGTTTCCTAACAGCGAGGTTCACTGTGATGTGAAAGGCAGAAGAAAGTCAAGGATGAACATAGGAGCCGTACAGCGTGATGGCAGTACAGGGGTCTGGCTCTACATATCTAGGATTCAAGAAGCAACTTTTGTATTCTGATATTCTGATTTGTTTCTTACTCTGTGTCTCTGTCTGTTTGCTTTGCAGTTTTTGACTTACAGGAATTGTGTGTCATTTGTGTAGAGCATATTGTATTGAATTAAAAAAAGAAGAAAAAAACAACTCGAGTTAAAAATAATGTTGGTGCAGTGCCACGCTAGGTTAAACATTCCCTTTAAAACTGAAAAATTGGTATGTTGGAGATTTGTTAATTCAGCACACTAGGTACTAAGCAATGGGATTTCTTGAATACAAATTGTAGCATATGGGGAAATAGTACTTACTGAAAGGAATTCTGTCCACACAATCGTGCTGGTGATTTAAAGTATTGCAGTACTTAGTAGATCAAATCTGCAGTTCCTTTTGTGGTCCTTCCGCGTTGTTTCACTGTACTGTACATACCCTTGGCAAGAACCTGGGAGGGTTTCACTCTTGACAGCCGATGGCCCAATGTCTTGTCTTCGGTATGTTTTCAACAGGCGGTTTCTCAAATACAAATTACAAAAAGAAACCCAGAACTATGTGACTGAAATGAATTGATAAAGACAAGGAACATAACCGTGTTGAAAACCTGTGGAGAATGCTAATTAGTAATATTCTGGGCAAAACAGCTGAGTACTGAGTTCGTGTTTTTATATGAAGTATTTTCTGCCTTAGCGCATTGTCGACTCCTCATCTAGCTTGGGGACATCATATCTCCATGGCTGATGGAGTGCTGCTCTGATTTAGTTTTGCAAAATACTTTGCTTCTTCTGGGGGTAAAATCTATCATTATTATTAGGCTTCTTGCACAGCCTTTTCTTAGCGCAGGGCAGAATGGAAGTAACAGAACTCTAATCGGGTCAATGTAATCTATTGTTAATATGAACAGCACTGGTAAGTAGTGTGTGTAGTATTCTGTTTTCATCATTGGGAAACATTCTTGCTAAAATGACAGGACATTAAATGACTTAGTCTTGCAAAAAAAGTCCAGCCCTGCTAGTTTGAGTGAGCACTGGGAATAACAGATCATGCTTTCCACAGAGACATCCTGAACTCACAACTCTGTTTTTTCTAAAACACTACAGTACCAATTTTTATGAAAAATGATCATTTAAGGAGGTTCGTTATCATTGCCTTTATTCAAGTTGAGTTTTTGTCATGTGATTAAATTGTCACTGGCCGGCATGATTACGTTAAGCAAAGGAGAAGGAAGCTGAAGTAAGAAGAACTCCAAGGTTATCAAACCGAACTCAGCTGAGATAGCTGAAGCATTTAATTTTAATAACTGAGGTGATTGTGAATGTGTGTTTGTTAAAGCCTTAGAAATGAGGCAATAATCTTTCTGTGTCGATGTATTGGTACAGATCTGAAGGTACACGTGTCATTACTACTGCTGGCTTGTGTTTCAAGATTATATCATGATAGATAATATTTTTAAAAAAGAAGAAATTTGCAAGTGATTTAGAAATTATGAAGTGAATTGTTCTCATCACTGCTTTTTTAGTTATCTCACACTAACTAAATTTTGTAGGAGTAAATTTTACTCTTTAAATTTCTGTGTAAACTGATTAATACACACTTTACAGGGACAGTGCGGTGTGGAAGAACTAAGACCTCACAAATTAAAAACTCAGGCTGTTTTTTGCAACTCTCCTATTGATTAAAAAGGAAAAGAAAAACAAATGATGCTCGTAGTTGAGGCTTCCAAATGGCATTTCTATCACTCCTGTCCGTCGCTGCGTTTAGCTCAACACAATTATATGTGTATGTTTTCAGTGTCAGAAATTGTCCTCATAAATTTTTTCAGTAATCCTGGCTAGCTGTATGTGTGTTTCGATTGTAGGGCGATGCTGGGCGGGGGGTTAGAGGTGGCGGTGCGTTGCAGTTCTGTGTCCCGGGCAGCGGCTGGGCTTTG